GGGCTTGAGGGTGGCTTGGAGCCAACCACAGCTCGGCTCTGCTTTTTGGTGCTTTGCAGAGAGCTTGAGTAAATATTGAAAGATGGTGATGCGTGGCGTAATTGCTAAAACAATAGCTGACTGCTAATGGGGGTGTTTCCTCCTTGAGGGAGCGTTGTTTGAAACGGAATCGCAATGAAAATTATTAGCATTGTGTTTTGAGCTATTTAGTGGGAAATTTGCATTATTCATCATGCTTTCCAATCCGCAGAAATTGCCTGCGCAAGAAATAACTTGCAAATTCTTACTCCATTTCCAAAAATGTGGGAAAGTTTATTTATTTCTCCATGCATTCCTGATTCGCAATGTGCTCTCTAAAAATGTCGCTAAGATTTAGGCTAACCAAGCTCATGCTAAATTTAGCAACTATATTTTAAATAAACATTCTTTACGCTTTACTGAACTGGCTTTGAAGCTGGCTTAAAACAAATTGCGTTCACATGAACATTAACAATGTTTTACTTTGGACTAAGTGAACATCTGAATAAGTAATAACGTATTATTCAGTATAACCTGAAAATGAGATTTAGGAGATCTAACTCAGCCAATTTAGGAAAGATTCCTACGAGGAATACCAAATCAGACCCGTATTTATTTCTGGAAGAGTCCATTCTGTTCTGCTTGACCACACGAAACTTTCTTTGGGTGTCGTATTGGACACTGTGAGCTACGAGCCTCGGTGAAATCAGCTGTGACTTAGCACGCACTGCGTTTGAGGAATCTGGCCCATTTTAAAGCACTTAATGATTTGTCTGGATGAAGCACTAAAAATATACTGTGGGGAGCAATTATGCAATGTCCAGACTGATGGATTGCATAACCTTGTAGACCTTTTCCATCTGTAACTTCTCTAATTCTATGATCTTGTCTTCTTGCTCTTTCACTTAAAATCAAATATGTGATCTGTTTAATATCCAAAAGGCTGTCTCCCAGGAGGGCTCTTCTGGGTGTGCAGGGCGGGTGAATCGTAACGAAGTAACGAAGCGGATCCTTCTCCCCCTTTCATTTTGAGAATTGGCTGCTTTTCACACCGGGCTTAGAAGCAATTAGCAGGAGACCAGTGGGTTTTGGTGTAAAAAAGGATGCTCTCTCCATTATGTACCTTCCTTGGCAAAGGATAACTGTTAAAATTTACTATTAAAAGATGGGGAGGGAAGTAGAAGTGATTACAAAGTCTCTTAGAGTTATGTTACCTTGAAATCAAACATGGACAGCCACGCACTTGGAGTGACAAGCCCTGGAAGTGGCTTCCGCTCATGTTTAAATACTTGATTTCTTTTTTATGTGCTGTGGGACCAAGTTTAAGAGAACACACACTGAGCATATTTGAAGACTGGAAGCCCCATTTATGAGAAATTAAATTCCTGAATTATTTTAATATGCCAAATTTTCAGTTCCTCTCATAGGAAGCCTGTGTTTGGAGCGAAGCTGCTCCATGAACCGAACGACTCCGCTGTGAGCCTCTTCCACTGCGTGCTCTTCTCTGCTCCTAGGAGTTAAAATTGGCTGCAGACCTCGGAGACGTGAAACCTTGCTCGGTTGGGAGAGGTCATTCCTCTCCAGCAGAACGGAAAGGCATATATATATCGCCCACACAAGAAGTATGCTGTTTATACTGCATCATAGGCTATTTTCTACATTTCTTCACAGTATTTCAGACTTGTGTTTATAGCCAGCCCCGTGAGGTTGGGAAAGCCGGGAGAGGGGGGGAAGATTCCAGGGATGAGTTAAACACTGGGTGGCAGTTTTGTGTTTGGCAGCAGCTTTTTTGGGGGGTTGTGAAACAGGTGTGAAACCGTTGGCATCGATCATTCGCAGCTTGTCAAGCCCTTTATATTTGTATGGCATGTTGTCTGCCTCGTCCTGCACAGCACCAAAATTCATGGGATGTACAGAGGAATAAAGGATGCTCGGGTACATCCAAATGGCAGGTAATGGGGTATTGACGTGCACGCTTATTTCTCTGCACTGGAGCACTGTTGTTTTTATTGTCCCATTACTTCTTCTCCTCTCTATATAAACAGATGACGTGCAAGAGCCGCGTGCGGTTAGTCATGTTGGCAATAAGACCCTTTTTCTCAGTATTTATCCCCGGCAAGTTACATCAACGGCCTGAGCCCAATTAAGTCCAAATTACCACTCGTAACTATTCACCTGGTTCTGAGTTCGTTCGAGTTAGTGTCACCCTCGTGCAGAATGCGTTAAGGCTACTAATTTTACTCTCCCAAGTGAAACCAAAATCAGGCACAGTGAGGCTTTTAAACGCTGCAGCTGTACTTGGTCCCACTCCACTACAACAAAACAGAAATAAAATCAAATGTCGCCATGAGCAAAGCTTCATAAAAAAATAAATTTCCATGGCATAGAAGAAGGCACATCTCACAAAAAAGGTGCCTGTGATAAAAGCACGCATTGTGTACAGATCAAACTGCAAGCCTAATGTGAGACTTACTCCTTCAGATGATTCTTTTTCATTCTTTTTTGACCAAAATCTGCCCAGAAAGGGCCCTGAGGTGGAGGGGGTACACCTCTACAAGCAGGAAAGGAATAAAAGCCCTGTCTGCAGGTCCAGAAAGGTACTTTGGGAGCTGGAATAGGAGCTGAGAGGTGCCAAAACTGGGGGGGTCACAGCTGGGACGCCAAGTGAGGAGAAAGGGAAGCAAAGGAGCCTGAAGACAGAGGTTAAAACTGCTTTGGAGGGTATTTAGTGGATTTTTTTCTTTGTGTGGGGCTGTCCTCATGCTCGGTGCATGCAGAAGCAAGCACTCAGCATCACTGATGGCATCTGCTTTGCCAGCACCTCCCAGACACGTGCGGACACCCTGGGATGGTGAGGCTGCTCAGCACTGGTCCATGTCCTGCACAGGTCTCCCTGAACCTGATGGGAATGTCCTCAGCTCCTTCAGAGGAGGGTTTTTAAAGAAGCAAAAAGGGAATAAACCACCTTGTAACTGAGAGCATAAATAATCACTTCCTGGGGGCAAACCCCTCCAGGCTGTGGGGTGACCAGGAATGAAGGATTCCCACCTGTGGCAACCAGCTCTACGGCTTGATGGACACACACATCCTCGGAGGCAGCGTTAACCTCCCATCTCACAGACGTACCCAAGTCCTGGCACAGGCAAGCAGCTGGGGATGGAGAGATGATTTGAGGTCTCTGCTGAGCAAGAACTGAGCTGGATCTTTTCCCTACCCCTGCAGCTTCCACAGAGTGATGTTATGACACAGACTCTGCAAAGACCGGTGATGTCAGCCCCAAGACTTGAACAGAAACCTCCTCCACTTATTTAACTTGCTATAATACCTGTCTTGATGAGCATCTTTCTTTGGGGAAACTCATCATCAGTTTCCATCCTTTGGAGGTTTTCTGTACTTCCCCACGTGAGAGCTCTTTGCTTTGTGTTGAAATGAGCCCCTCTGAGCTCCTGGTCCAGGCGTCAAAGCAGTTTGATGTCAGCCATCCTCTGCAAAAGCTGAATCCCAACTCACCTGAGAAACCCAGATTCCCAATAGTCCAGGTGCTAATTTAAGGACAGGCTTTGCTAGCGAGATGGGGTGGGATGGAGGGAGGGGAGGGAGGGAGAAACAGAATCATTTTGGGAAACATTATCTCAGTCGCAAGGAACGAATAATTTCCCAGGCCCCTATTTTTAGCCTCTCCCACTTTTTACCTCTCCTGGCAGCGTGGTCCATCATGCCATCCCCGGGATATTTGGAGCAGAGCTCACTGCTGTGTCCAGCTCCTCAGCCCTCCAGCTGCACGAGCCAAGGGGTGTTTTACAACACATCAGCCACAGTCCTGAACAAAATAACTTTTATTGGATATAGGTTTGGTTTCATAATGAAAATTGAGAATATAGATATTTTTTTTTTCCAAAAGGGCATTTATCCACTAATATACAAAAAGCCTCTATTTATGGAAAAAAAAAAAAAAGAGAGAGAGAGAAGAATTATTCCTGATTGCTTGTAATGTGGCTGGATTCTTCCCTCTTTAAGAAAAAAGGAAGCTTTAAAAACATAGCTGATGTCTGGGTTGTTAACACAAGTGCTTCAAAACACACTGATGAGCCTCCACAACCCTAGGGATGCCAAGTGAGGAGAAAGGGAAGCAAAGGAGCCTGAATACAGAGGTTAAAACTGCTTTGGTCTGTTTCAGTCTTTTTTGGTCAGAAGCAACTGATCCCAGCGAGACATGGAAACCGGCCGCATCTCCACATTGACAACATGTTTGCTCATCCATCCCCCTCTCTCTGGCCACATCAGTGAGACAGAAACTCTTACCACGATACTCCAGAAGCACAAGTGCTAGGCAGGAAACCAGCTTGCGTTAACGCCATGAGTTATATACAGTGCTGAGTCAAAGCAAGCAGGATTGTGCAGAATGAGCCTGGATGGTTTGGTCTGCCCTTATTTCAGCCCCTTTTACCTGCCTTTTACCCACTCCGAGGACTGGGCCAGTAGGGCAGTATCAGGAATCATTAGGTGCAGGGTATTAATGGCAAAACAAAACTCAGCCTCCTCCCCCAGGGATGGAAGGGGTGGGTTTGGTTTTCAAAAGAAAAAAAAGAAAAAAAAAAAAAGAAAAAAAAAACTGGAGACCCAAAGAGCTTGGCAGAAACCAGGGCTGAGAAACCTGAGGAATGCAAAGACTAAAGGTGCAGAGCAAACCCGATGGAGTGTCTTGGAGGGCAGGCTGAGACCCCCTCCCCCTGCTGCCCTGCCTCTGTAGCTCCACCACCCACGGGAAAAGCAAGCCGTTTTACCTTTAAAAGTCGATCTGGTAGGGGGGTGGGAGGCAACGGCTAAAAGAGAGCTCCGCAGCAAGACGTGCCTTGAAAAATGCCCTGAAATCCTGAGTCACCTTTTATCGTCGTTTTTTTTTTTTATCATGGGTTTTTTTTGGTCTTTACCCGCTTGGCGAGGTCTGAGTCCGGTCTCTCCCTCCCGG